TATTTTGACCTAGTACAGAAGTTTTCTAGTTCTCCCAGATTCTGCTTCAGTTATTTTTTGAGAAAATAATAATTAGAAGTGAAGGTTACATTTGGTATAATTTCCTTTAAGTTATATATCATTAAAGATTACTGGAGACCTCAGTTATTATATTTGTGTTATATGCTGTGATGATATTATTGGGTTAATAGAAATGGATGTTGGTAAATTTATCATGTGTTTCTCTATCTGTAAACCAAAACCACCTGCAGACCATTACCAATTTAATATGAATATCATAAAGGTAGCATAAATCTTGTAAGACCAAGGTACCCGTCTACAAAAGCACATGTGTTAAATGGCTGGGGCACCCATCTACGCAAGCTTATGTTAATCGTTGTTGTACCTGCCTATGCAAGCTCTTCCAAAATACTGTACTGCCGTTATCTTGTACTCTGTAAAGGAAAAAAAGATATGTGTTGCATTACCCCATTGTTCGTGCTGTTGGCAGAATGGTTTCTTGGATCACTACAGACCTATAGTTACAAGTGATCTTTTGAGTGCTGTGGAGAAAAATTATGTGCAAATTATATAACAATGTTCAGGGGAAGCTCAAGTTTAGGTAGGTTAATTTGGTTCATTTTATAAACAAGGAATTGCATAAGATTACCAGAGATTATTTTGTCTGAAGAATAAATGGTTCAAAAAGAAATGTGGTTATTTTCATGAGTATAAACCAAGCTAGATATTGCGGAATCCTCTGGACATGTACCTGTAATTCGTTTCCGAGCTGCATTTCCAAGGCGAGTTAATTCTTCATTAGAATATGAAAATGCGAATTGGTCCATTTTTAACGGCTGTACTTTATTTTATCATATTTGGCATATTTCTTCAAAACATCTGACAGCAGGTGAAAGATATGTAAAATATTGAAAATGAAGTTCCGGTATTTATGAAATTTCTGCCATAGAAATTAGCCAACACAATATGAGATGTCAGAAATTCTTAAAAAGCCTTATTCTAGTGTTAGAAGCAAAATAATTATATACAGTACAGTACTGTACAGTGAAACCTCTATTTAATAGACTACATGAAGAGGAAAATCCATTACTGTATATCAAGGGTCTGTTAGATGTGAAACCCCTATTTAGAGGATTACTGTATATGAAGGTTTCACTGTAAATCCAAAATACACTTTATTACATCAATACTGTTTTACATTCAGAGGCAAGAAGTTGTGGTAGAATTGGCCGTAAGTCGAAAAGGCAAATATAATACATAGAAAATCTAAAATGGGTCTCTTTTTCTTCTCAGCACCACGAGAACTCTCACTTTTACGCTTGCCAGCCATTTTAAAGGGAATTACAAACAAAAGTTTTGTCAGTACACAGTGCAATTACTAACGTCAGGACTCGAAAATGCGTAATTTAAAAAAATATTTTATACGACTATGGCGGTCGTATGTCCGGGTGGTTGTAAGTCGAGGAGTACCTGGGAGAAAAATAACTGTGAAAAGAAAGTAAAAAGGGGCAGAGACAAATGTGTCACAGTGTGGGTGGTGATCAGCTGAGTTTAGGCCAATTCACACTATCCTTCACGGATCGGCAACGGTCGGTCAAAATTTCTTACATGTAATCAAATGGAGCTGTTCACACCAAACCGGCACGTCGCGTATCGGTTTGTTCAGTTCCTTCACGTCTCAGTATCTCCGGGAGAATATTTTGACGCGATGAAACGTTTCCGTGCCGAACCGTTTCTGATAAGTTACGGATGGTGTGAAAAGACACACGGTCAGTAACATTCTGTTCGAGCTAGAGAGGAGGCTGGAGGGTCTGCAGTTTGGTATAATCCTAGTTGATTTATTCACTTTTGTTTCACATCATGGACGAACAGCTAATTGAACTGGTTCGCGGTAATGAATAGCTAAGTGGTTGTTCTTGACAGCTGAAGGTGGTGATGATTGTTTCATGAGGTCATTTATCTTCCTGCTCTGATTGGCTGCTTTATATGTCTTCTAATCTACTCTTTTTAAGGGTATTACAATAGAGAAGGATGTAATATTTTCAAAGTAATTTTTCCAGCCACTAGAGTCTCTGACCTTCAGGCCTAATAGGTACATTATGGGAGCCATAGCAAATAGTATATCATTACAGGCATTTCACAAAGAAATGTGTTTCAGTACCAAATATTTAGACACCCAGTTAAAAAAGTACTGTACAGTACAGTACTATTGCTAATCCAATTATTTAATACTGTACAGGTACTAATGAACATTTACTTTAGCTGTATAACTGGTTTTTAAATGAGCTGAATAGAAATAATGCATGAATCACGCACATGTACTGTATGCACAGTGAAACAGTTTCAAACTTTGCACTCAAATTTTGCTATTATAATAGTCTTACTGTTTCAGTAAGTCATAGGTAATCAAAATTGGTCTCTGGGTTAGAATGGTTTAAAACTGGACATAATTTAAAGATTATTATAAAACAATATTTATTACCTTCTAGTTACAGTGTATTATTTAGGATTAACACCATAACTGCGACATACATTCTGGAATTGAGAGCGCTCTTAATGCAGCACGCAATTTTTTTTCTTGCGGGGTCAAGTATGGAATGTTTACTCTCGCCAGTTTCTTGGGTCCCCCCACTGAGATGTTGATGTTGTATGTGTTACTGTAAGATATATATACTGTATCTACTTTTAGCTTTGAAATTGAATATCCATTGTGAGTGATGTTGAAAGCTTCAACTATATTTCCTTTTAGTTAAATTGTCAAGTAAGTCAAGTTTTTGGGGTGAGCAATAGAGGTTAGAATCCTTTTTCCATCCTATGAGAGACTGGCAGCCAAACTAAGGGAAGTAATGGACACGTATTTAGTTTCCACATTCTTATACATATTATCTTTTGATCCACAAGAGTTAAAGTGATGTTCAGGGAAAATCGATATACCTGGTACATGTTTTTTTGCCCACTGAGGGGTTGATTGGCGAATCACTCTGCCGCAGTTATCATGTTAAGTCTTTTATACAGTACAATAATGTAAACAGTATTGTTATACTCAAGGTTTGTGATACTAAAACTTACTGAAACTGATTATCATGCATTTATTGTATATACTGTATATAGGGGGTCCCCAACTTGTGAACGGGGTTAAACTTGAAATTTATAGTATTTTATTTACCTGATGACATATATTTTTACATTCATTTACTGTATTTTGCCATTCTATTTCTTCTTTTGTTACAAGTTATTTTAGATGTATATAAGGATTTAGGCTATGATGTATTGGGGTTTTAAACATTATTCTGTAATTCATATAGATCCACAATGAAAACATGGATAAGATAAATCATGATAAAATCACACTGGAAAAGGGGAAACAATGGAGCACCTTAGCTTTCATCTTTATTCAAGACATCTTCAGAGACAACTGAATTACAAGGACCTTACTAAACATGAGGTCAGGTCATAAATATGACAATCACTAATCCACACACCAACACCACTGCCAACATAAGAGGCGCTTAAAAGAAAGGGCGACGTAACTAGTCATGTTAAGTCAGGTAAAAAAATATGGGACCCACTAATCATCTATCCTACATCTAACTCGAATGCTTCCAAAGCATTTTTAAACTTGGGCCACTGACAAATAAATTTGTGTAACATATCAGTTTTGTACTGACCGTCACTAAGGTTTATAGAATTCAATTCTCTAATCAAATTTGCTTCAACCAAAAGTCTTTCTGTGACACATGATGATTTATACACTTCTAAACTGTTTTCCCAATCTATGGAATGATTATTGTTCCTCACATGAAGGAACAGTGCACCGCTTTTCTTGTGTGATTTTATCAAGATTATTCTGTAAGTACGGTATGCACACACACTGGTCCCTCGGTTAACGAACACAATTTGTTCCAGAAGGTCGTTCATTAACCGAAACCATTGTTTCAATGGGATTTTGGGTAATTGGTTCCAGCTCACCGAAAATTACATACGAAGTAAAAAAAATGCAGTAAAGTACACTTACTTTGAGGTGTGTAAGTAGAAGGCTCCTGGTTGATGATGATGATGGGAATTAGAAGTGAGGGTGGAGGAGAAAGGAGAAGAGAAGGAAGTGGGGGTGGAAGAGAAATCACCCCATGCTTGATGCCGTCATTTCACCCATAAAATTTAAGTTCACTAGGTGTAATTCAAGATTATTTTCTTTAAATCAACACTGCACTGCACTATGTATTGTCAATATGTTAAATAAATTTCAGAATGACCAATAATTGTACTGTAAAAATGTAAAAATACTCTGCGTTCAAGAGACCCACAAGCAAGATGTTTCCTCCACTGAACAGAGATACAGGTACAAACTGAGGCCTTCGTGGGTGAGTGAAGTGGCTGATGGGCACTCCAAAACTAGTTCCCTATACTGCAGTTATGTTAAATAAGCGTTAAAATGACTAAAAAAATTAATATAAAATTTGGAAAATTATTGAATAGTACAACCTTCTTGATATTTACTCCAATTTTAACGAATGTGAGAACCGATTTCTGTATTGGCAGACTGATCTCCCAGTTGGTGAGCAAGCCAAAGCATGTCGAAATATTTTCGTAAGAATTTTGTTAACCGAAATGAAGATTCTTATGGAAGGTAATTTGTTAACCGAGGGACCACTGTACAGGTAGCATGTGTTCCGACTTACGTACAAATCCGACTTAAGAACGTACTCAGGAACGGAACTCGTTCGCAATCCGGGAACCCCCCGTACTGTACAGTGTATGTACAGTAGTATAAGTTTTAGGTTAATGGTCACTGAAGATTGAATATTACAAGTACAATATACTGATATAAATGAAAGATACTGTACAGTATACAAGTCTTCTAACATTTCCTAAAATAATTTTTTTAATTTGTTAAATTTTGTTGGTTTTTCAAATGCAGTGTAACTTCACGCTACGGTAATACATGCAACTGACATAATATATTCAAAACACTGATGATGCTTTTTCTTCTGTCTCAACAGATGCACATTACGGTTCCCTAGCACAAATATCAAGATTCAGTTCCAGTCATTAGTAGATGACTTGGACCCCCCACCTGCCAGGGTCCCATCTCCACCAAAAAGAAAAATGCAACCTCTGAAAATAAACATTCCTGAACAAGATGCCAACTTTGGTTCTCCATTCCCCTCACCTACAGGCACTATAAGGTAAGTTTATCATCTTCATTGTTGTACAGTATGCTTATTGCTCATAACATACTCTACATTGTAATATGACTGTTTGAAAGATGCAAGAATGTGTTTAATTTTTCGTTCAACACATTTGTTCGTTGCTTGATATTCAAAGATAGTATATTTTTAGTGGGTGTAGTAGTACTTCAGGGTTTCTTATAAAGCACTATAACTTCTCAGTGCTAACACAGGTTCTCAAACATGGCTCATATAAAGTTACTATGCTCATTTGAAGGAGTAAAAATAATCTAGCCTCAATTGTTTTGATATACACTTATGTATTTACAAGGAAAATACTGTTTAGCTTCAATAAGGCACTCAGAAATTTGTTTTGACAAAGTGTAAGTAGTTATGACAATGAGTTGAAAGGAGTGAGTAGGTCTGGTGCTTATTTTCTACACTTCATCACTCACATCACTGCAGGAACAAGTCATGTCTTTTGCCCTTAATAGAACTGAATAGTCCGAATAGTGCTGAGTTGTGGTTGGTTAGTTAAATTTTGTTGGAGTATACACTAGTTATATCTGGAAGCTTTTGGCATCTACAGGATGTGTAGTTTTCTAATTCACAAATCGATTGTGGTAGGAAATGGAATGTAGCTACTGTAGGAACTGTTCTACCAAAAAATTGAAAAAAAAATGTATCGGCTTTTTTTTTTAAACCCAAATTTTAGACAAAACAAAAAAGATCTTCTATTTGGATCTCAGGGATGATGTCCTGAGCAGTGGCAGAAACTCAAAATGGACTGGACAAACAGGTGTATATGAAAGGAAACTGTCAAACAAAATATCAGCTGAATTTAACAAAGATGTTTTGGACAAGAATACATTTACCCTGGAGGTTTTTGTGTACTGTATTCTATTTCACTGCATAATAACGGCAGTCATTGTTGGTTATATATCCTGATATCGAATATGATTTTGAAGGTAGATAATCCAGGATGATCTCGCAAAATTCAACCTGAAGTTCTCATGAAAAAAAAATTGGATGGACTGGTGAAAGGTAGGGGAGCATGGGAGTAATTTATTGACTAAGAACAGTGATACAGGCAGTGTTCACTACTTCCATCAGTGGTAAATGATGCCATGAAACTGATGATCAGATTATTAAATGATTCACCACTTTCATTTCATAAGCAAGACTAGAATATTGACAATTATTATTTTCCTTTGACATACCTTGGTATTAATTATGATACAGTACTGTAGTTATTTTAAATACAAATTTTCAAACCTGTATCCAGATAAATTATGGTAATACTTTAGTCGGTGTTACATTACTATGTACAGTGTACTATACAGAGGTTAAATTTTTTCCCAAATGCCTGTACCCAATAAGTTTGTAGTGTACAGCACGCCCTTAAAATTCTCAGGGCATGGGTCTCGAAATGGCCGCGGATAGCCAAATCCGTGAATATCATTTGCTGACGGGGGGAGGGGGGGGGGGTTACATTTTTACTCATATACAAAGAAATGTGTCCATATTCCTTTTATGTGTTTGCCCTCTGGACAATTATTTCTTTTACCTGTATTGTACTGTATATGTATGTGTGTGTGTATAAACACACACACAAAACACATACAAGTAAATGATAATGGGAAATTCCACTCACAATTGATAAAAAACAAGACAACAAAATATATCGAAATGTAGAAAAAATGTGAGTCTACCCTCAAGTCAATTCCATGCTTTGTTATTAAAGGAGTTGGTTGAGTTGCCAGACAGCAATTTTTTCCTCGTAAAAATTTGTCTCTAGAACGAATGGCTCCCTGTCCCAGCCGTGAAAATGCGGGCAACTTTAAAACTATCCTCAGACATTCTTGGGTACATCCAGGGTGTCATCCGTGAATAATCGAGGACTGCGAATCAAAAATCCGTGAATTGTCATGGCATGCTGTAGTCACTCCTGTAGGACCTTTTTTGTGTTTTCAATACAGTACATTACAGTACAAGGTATACTAAAAAAATGATATGACCTAACTTGTGAGTACAGTTCTGTATTGTACTTGTCTAAAGCAGAATTAAGTAAGTTGGTAAAAAATGGTAGCATGGAAATGAAAAAAAGGGAACGGTTTTCTTTTAATGATGGATGATTTTGAATTGAAGAATATTGTTCTGAACTGTGTTTCAGAAGAGAAGAGGCTATTTAAAGCAAAACAATAAATTAAGCAGATTTTGTGCCAGATACCGATACAATGAGTAGAGCTAGATGAGAATTATGTGATTGTAGCATTAAGGGAAGATGAACATTAGCAGAAATTTGCATAGTTGTGGGATGTGATTTCTTAAAAAAATTCAATGATGTATTTTCCTTTAGGGAAAATTGGATACGATATTTGTATTATTCATTCTTTGGTATTCTTTGGCCCAAACATAATATAGAGGAGACGTTTGACTGAATATGTACAGTAGAGTATGTTTCAGTTATGTATTGTTGGCTCGTAGGGAGGTAAAGAGTATGCTGTTTGGGTTGATATTGGTGAGAAATATGGCTTGAAGTACAGTACAGTAATTGGAACATTAACTTATGGTAGGCAAAAGAGGTAAATAATTTGGCATTATGAAGGCTGTAGCTTGAGCCTGGTTTGGTTAATGTTGATCAGGCAGGGTTGGAATGCATCCTCTGATTCCTCTCAGCTAGTTATTGAAACGTTTCTCTAAAATTTGACATGAGAGTGCATCTTCTTAACCCCTTCACTATAGGAATGCCACTTTTAATATTTTATTTGGCTTTACCCCAGAAAATTTGATTCAGCTCAGAGGTGGCCTCTTACAAAGGGGGTTAATTGGACATGGGAGAGTACCTTTGCAATGGATTATGGGTGAAATCCTCTTAATGTATGTGGAAAGTGGGAGATTGCCTCCGTCTAAATGGACATAGGAGAGTACCCTTTTATATGACCATGGGAGTGTACCCTTTTATATGACCATGGGAGTGTGCCCTCTTAAATGGACGTCAGAGTTAACCCTCTCCCACAAAAAAGAATGCCATCTCATAATTTTTTTAATGTTTTTAGAATACCAACTGTAGTGTAATTACAAACCTTGTTACTCACCCAAAAACCTTTGTTGTTGAAGTACAACAACCCTCTTAAATGTACATTTGAGTTGGCCTACTTAAATGGATAAGGGAGTGTCTCCTTTAATGGACATGGAAGTGTTCCTTCTTAAATGGCCATGGAAGTGTTCCTTCTTAAATGGACATGGAAGTGTTCCTTCTTAAATGGACATGGAAGTGTTCCTTCTTTAATGAACATGGAAGTGTTCCTTCTTTAATGGACATGGAAGTGTTCCTTCTTTAATGGACATGGAAGCGTTCCTTCTTAAATGGACATGGAAGTGTTCCTTCTTTAATGGACATGGAAGTGTTCCTTCTTAAATGGACATGGAAGTGTTCCTTCTTTAATGAACATGGAAGTGTTCCTTCTTTAATGGACATGGAAGTGTTCCTTCTTTAATGAACATGGAAGTGTTCCTTCTTAAATGGACATGGAAGTGTTTCTTCATGAAGTGTTCTTCTAAATGGACATGGAAGTGTTCCTTCTTTAATGAACATGGAAGTGTTCCTTCTTTAATGGACATGGAAGTGTTCCTTCTTAAATAGACATGGAAGAGTTCCTTCTTTATTGGACATGGAATGTTCCTTCTTAAATGGGCATGGAAGTGTTCCTTCTTTAATGGACATGGAAGTGTTCCTTCTTTAATGGACATGGAAGTGTTCCTTCTTTAATGGACATGGAAGTGTTCCTTCTTTAATGGACATGGAAGTGTTCCTTCTTTAATGGACATGGAAGTGTTCCTTCTTAAATAGACATGGTAGTGTTCCTTCTTAAATGGACATGGAAGTGTTCCTTCTTAAATGAACATGAAGTGTTCCTTATTAAATGGGCATGGAAGTGTTCCTTCTTTAATGAACATGGAAGTGTTCATTCTTAAATGGACATGGAAGTGTTCCTTCTTAAATGAACATGAAGTGTTCCTTCTTAAATGGACATGGAAGTGTTCCTTCTTAAATGGACATGGAAGTGTTCCTTCTTTAATGAACATGGAAGTGTTCCTTCTTTAATGGACATGGAAGTGTTCCTTCTTTAATGAACATGGAAGTGTTCCTTCTTTAATGGACATAGAATGTTCCTTCTTAAATGGACATGGAAGTGTTCCTTCTTAAATGAACATGAAGTGTTCCTTCTTAAATGGACATGGAAGTGTTCCTTCTTTAATGAACATGGAAGTGTTCCTTCTTTAATGGACATGGAAGTGTTCCTTGAACATTTAATGAACATGGAAGTGTTCCTTCTTTAATGGACATAGAATGTTCATTCTTAAATGGACATGGAAGTGTTCCTTCTTAAATGAACATGAAGGTTCCTTCTTAAATGGACATGGAAGTGTTCCTTCTTTAATGAACATGGAAGTGTTCCTTCTTTAATGGACATGGAAGTGTTCCTTCTTTAATGAACATGGAAGTGTTCCTTCTTTAATGGACATAGAATGTTCCTTCTTAAATGGACATGGAAGTGTTCCTTCTTAAATGGACATGGAAGTGTTCCTTCTTAAATGGACATGGAAGTGTTCCTTCTTAAATGGACATGGAAGTGTTCCTTCTTAAATGGACATGGAAGTGTTCCTTCTTAAATGGACATGGAAGTGTTCCTTCTTAAATGGACATGGAAGTGTTCCTTCTTAAATGGACATGGAAGTGTTCCTTCTTAAATGGACATGGAAGTGTTCCTTCTTAAATGGACATGGAAGTGTTCCTTCTTAAATAGACATGGTAAGTTCCTTCCTTAATGGACATGGAAGTGTTCCTTCCTTAATGGACATGGGAATGGGCAAATTATTTTTTAACATGCAGTATTTTAGGAGAGACAGTAAAACAGATTTATCGGGGAGTGGGTGTCCATATTGCATCCCCCCGAGCTGTGTTAAATATGAAAGATACTTTTGTACAGCTCACCCACAGCACAGTTTTCCATCATAATTTATTGTATGACTTACCTGAGAAATATACAGCCAGAAACAAAAGTTTTTCCATCTCATGCAATTTTCCTCTTCTTACTTATGATGGGCAATTGCATAGGCACAGAATGTTTCACATGCTCCATAATTCTTTCTTTGTCCGTTAAATTCGTACCAACAGTCAAACGATTCAGTCCTTTGTAACCGTGCGTTTTTTCTTACTCGTGCTCTCATTACTGGCACTACCTTTATGCTTCTCGGATATATCGGGGTCAATAATGTTCGTAAAAACC